AACCGACACTTCAACGAATACAATACTCAACCAACGTGACTCTAGTCTCTATTGACATGCCAAATACACCACTTGTATTATACTTTTTCTATTTAATTCCTCTAATTTATAATCTTTGTTTTTTATTTCTTTTTTCTAATTTTCACAGAATTTTAAATATAAATAGGTGAAAAATTCTAAACTGTCAAAGAAAACGAGAAAAAAAATAATTATAACTCTTGGTCAAAGACATATTTGTTGTACAAATTTTACAGATCAAAAGAAAAAAATTAAAAAAAGAGAAATTTCGTAAATAATAATTATGATAATAAAGAAGAGAAATGAATATAAAAAATTTAAGAAAAGTTTAGAAATAGAAGAAAGAAAGATGAATTCAAGAAAAAATAATAAATTATAGTAACGATGATAAAATATATAAAAAATAATATATTGTAATAAGGATACGACGAGAGATAAATAAAATATTTGAGATGTATTTTTATTTTATTCTTACAAAATTTATAGATAAAAAGCCAATTAAGGAAAAGTTTCATCAATAATTATAAATCATGATAGTAAAAAGGAGAGATAAATATGATTTTTTTAAAGAAAGAATTAAAAAAGTAATAAATTGCACACTCCCTCCGTCCACTTTTAATTGTTATGTTGCGCTTTTTGAAAGTCATTTTGAGTAATTTTCAAAGTTGAATTAGATTACATTAAGTCGATATTTTAAACAAGAAATGTAGATATTCAAAAACTATACGAAAACTACTATAAATTGTTATTTTTTGCATATCAATATGAGGAAAAATTACATTATAAAATGTTAGTCAAAGTTCTTATAGTTTAATTTTTTTTAAAAAAAACTATGACAATTAAAAGTGGTCGGATGAAGTAGTAGTGATGAGGAAAGATGGAAAATACTTAATAGAGTGTAATAAAGGTGAGAAAAAGATTTTTGAATATATATTGTTATTATTATCATTATAAAATTTATAAATCAAAAGAAAATAGAAGTTCGAAAACTGACAAAAAAGATAAATAATAATCCTAGCAAAAGTGAGGTATCACATCATTCTTTTGTCATTGAGCTTTATATTTTTCTAGATTGTAATATCAATCTTCAATTACAACCTTAAAATAAGAATCGAAATATAATTTTTGAATCATTTCTTATCTTCTTTTTCAAGAGAAAGTGATGTCTGCAGTCAAAATATATTAGTATGTATTAAAAATTAACTGCAAATATATTATAAATTATTATGGTTGGCTTCACTAAAAAGGAAGTGATGTTTGCAATGTATATCATAAATGTATATTCATGAATAAAATATGTATAATATGTGTCCTATAAATTGTTGTGGTTAGAATGACTAAAAAAAACGAGTGATATGATGTTTCTATTATGAATGTATTATAAGTATGCCTACATCAAAAGTTTTTTACCTGAATTTCAAGTATTTAAATAATATTTAAATTAGTTTATATTTTTCGAAATGTATTATATGTTTTGGAGTAACAAATATCGAATTCATAATAATGCATGCTCTTGAATTCAAAATGTATTACAATTGTTGTTTATAATTAATACTATTTTGACACAATTTTAATACAATAATTAAATATTCACACCTTCAGACCTTTAAACCTTCAAATATTCAAACCTTCATCAAAATCCTCCAATATAATACAACAACAAATTTGCGATTATAAATCAAAAAAATGTTCTTCGATTGATACTTTATTTTCTAGATTTTGTAAACTATTATCGTAAAACTCAAAAAAATGCAATAATGGACTTTTTTTTTTACCCTCCCTAGGAGCTCCCACCCCTTTTGCTCCCTTGGTGACTCGAACTCGTAACCTTTGGATTGGAAGTGAGGGGTGCTTACCATCTGAGCAACTCCCTCTCGTCCAATAATGGACATTTTACATTGCTAAATTGAAAATTTTTACGAGTCATCTAAAAAAATTATAGAATTAGAGGACTATGTAGTTGAAAAAAAATATTAAATTAATTGTTGAAAAAAAATCAGTTGAGATAGTGAATGTAGACAAAGAATTGTGATTGAGATGAAGATGGGGAAGAGGCGTGAAAAATACGGACTTTTAAATTGCTGATATTAATTTATTTAGAAATAATTGCTATATTGGTTAAAAAAAATTTAGTGACACAAATGGTAAATACTTTTTTAACACTTATATGTATGTGATTTTAACTAATATTTACTCAAATTAAGGATAAACTAAAATAGGGTTAAAATAATTCACAATGTGCGAGTAATGCTTTATGTTGGTCCTTAATATATTTCATGATTGAAATAGTTGTTAAGTATAATAAAAAGTGTTCTTTTTTTTTTGTTAGATCATGTTTGACATTGCTGTTGGGAGGCCAGAAACACTTATTTTGACAAAAAAAAATACTTTTGTTGAAAAATTACATGTTTAACAAATCAATAAAAGTGTTTTTAAATGGAAGCATAAGCATTTTTTCTGTTATTGGGAAGAAACTAAAAATTTATGTTTCTTAAAAAAGCATAAACAAAAACATTTTTTTTAAGACTACAATATCCCTTTAATATATACATATTTACCTATATGTCTCTTATTAATTAATTAACATATCTCATAAGTTTGGTTAAATTTCTTTTAAGAATTTTATTTTTTATTTTTATATAATAATTTTTGTATTTTATTTTACGTGTGTATATTATTATTTTATATTTTATGTATTATTTTGCAAAATTAGAAAAAAAGATGATAACCATATTTTTGTAAGATCAGAAAAAAGAGAAAAAACATAACAATTAAAGATTCTAGCCCTCCCAAAAAAAAAGGTATAATATAAATTAAAATTTTAAAATCATTTTAATTTAATAAAAATAAGAGTTTAATTAACTTATTTATAATAAATATTTAAAATAGTTTCTCTCTATAAAATAATCTTACTATTACAAGTACATTAATAGTTGTCCTATTTCGTGATTTTACTCTCAAAAACACTTTTTAAATAAGATCAGTCAAACGCAATTTGCTTATGAAAAACATTTTTCAAATGAATTAGCCAAACACAAATTATTTTTTTCAAAAGCATTTTCTCAAAATAAATTGTTTTTAGCAGCAATGCCAAATATGCTCTAATTTAATCATAATTAACATTCTTATCAGGGTGTTTAAAATCGAACCGTAATCGATAAGCCAACCGCAAAATTGACTTATTGACTTATTGATATTGGGTTATCGAATAAATGGTTGGTGAACGGATTATAATTTTATAATTAACGATTTATTGGTGTGGGGGTGGATTATTCTATTTCCTCAACGGATAAACCGTGAATCTGTTAAGAGTTAACATATGTACACTTTTAACTTAAGTATATTAACATTATTTAATATTGAACAAATTTTAGGAATAACAAACATAAAAATATAGCGTTTTATAACTACAGTTTTGCTAGTTTGCTATGGAACATCTAATTTATAAATCGCAGGCATCTAATTTGTATAAAATCGCAGCGATTGTATGTGTATATCAGTTAGATAATTGCTATCTTTCAAAAACATATGCTATCTTTGCTAGCTTTCAAAAACATATGTTATTATTGATATCTTCATCGTCCTTATTTGTGAATTAACTAACATGTAACAAAAAGAAGTACATGAAAGTGAGATATATTTCATTCTCAAGTCTTTCTTTTTATTTTTATGTACTCAGACATGCTTTCTTAATTATTTATGTTCGTATTATCATTCATCAAGCAAGTATGATTAAAAAAAATATCTTTGTAATTCTTGAATTTCTAATAGTCAGTTTTCCAGATATAATATAGTTTGATAATAATATTTGTTAGATTTCAAGAAATGATTATTATTTAGTATTGTTAGTACTATTTGAAAAAATAATATACAAATATATTACGTATTGTTTAAATTTCTTTCTTTCTTTCTTTTGATATAATTATTTTTAATTAGTATATGATATTTTATTTATTCATTTTTTTATTCAATTGGTTGCATATGATGAAGAATTTGACATATGGAGCAAAATATGATGACGGATCTACTTGCAAAGGAAGATGATAGAAGGAGAAAAAATGAAGCATAATTAGAGATTATTTTTGCTAGATTTTTTTTTTACTTTGACTTGTATTAGCAACTTAGTTACTTTGCTAGAATTTTTTAAATTTTGATTTGTATAAATAATTTAGCTAAATGTATTGTCAATGCTAATCATTTGATCCTTTACTATTCTACTTTTTCTTTGTTATGAAGCACAATCAATATAATTATCCTATTTCAACAACAACAAAAAAATTATGATGATTAAGAGTTTCATTTTTTTTATACTTGCAAAAAAGTAATTGAAAAATAAAATATTAGTTTCATGATGCCAATTTTTTTTGCGTGTGTAACAATATGTTTTTGTCACCGTTTTTTTTGTTTGAAATATATTTATAATTTTTATGCAGTCATCAATTATAGCTTTAACATTTATTTTGAATTAATAATTTGCTATAATGCATAATTTTCTCTTTAATATTTTTCCATAATATATAATTATATATTATTAGTCCTAAGGCCTTAAAGCTAAAAACTTAAAAACCTATTGACTATCACATTACTAATTTGATTTTTTAAAAAAACTATTATATTACTATCAATCTTTGAAATATAGAAGAATTTTATAATTTAACTTCATTTAAAATAGGGAAAATATGTCATTTTTTGAAGATGCGTTCATGGAGAAAAAAAAGGTAGAGATTAACCAATACACCATTCGATAATCGTCCGATAAGTGCTAATTCATTATCGAACCAATCGATATTTTATAGATTGGCTAGTGAATTAGTAAATTTAAAATCGTTATCCGTTAAGCCAAAATATTCATCCAATCTTATTGTACATTAAAAACTATCTCAATCAAGTAAAATATATTAAAAATCAAAATAAATATAATTTCTTATTAATAAGGTGAAATATATTAAGAATCAAAAAAGAATTATGATCTATTTAAGAAGTGGAGCAATCTAGCGCCCTTCTCCTTCCGCACTGACCGTCTTTTCCCTCCATTTGATTGTCACGTCTGCGGCGGTTTTCCTGGGACTAGGGTAAAGGGAGGAGGATATTAATATAACAAAACTCGACAGTGAATGAATGAGCTTACCTATGCCCAGAGATAAGATATCTTTGTCGGGATTGCTCGAAATTGAAGGCGCTTTTAGGGTTTCGGTTAAACATTGGTAAGCCACTTTGCACCGAATTAGAAAATAGGTTTTGAAGTCGACTCTTTTGAGTAGAGTTGTTACTTCGTTTGCTTTCCAGTATTTCCTTTTCAATGTTGGTATGACCTTGGTGAATGGGCATGTCTGCAAACACCGCACAGGGTTGCCGGTTTAATTATGCATTGCTTTTATTTCTAGATGTTAGTAAGCATGGTTGCCATCATCTAGGACACATACATTCTAAATTTTTTTGTTTGTTTGTTTTGCCTTTTTACTTTTTCTAATTCTCGGAATTATGATTAGCTTAAATTAATTTTAGGGTATTTAATTCTTGGAATATTCTCATATCTTTGGTCTGTTATGCATTATGCCTATTAGCTTTTACTGCCATATTATTTTAGTTGTTGCTACTCCATTATTAATTTCATTATTATAACTAAAAATTAAGCCATTTAATGTATTTTGCATTTCAGTTCAAGCTGCGCATCTTCGTGGAAGCAGTCATTATAGGATTCTCAAGGGCTGAATCCGTGTGGTAAAAGTAGAGGCCTTGACAGAAAGAGGAAGCAGGTCTGTGAGTGGAGACAGTTATGGCTTTGGTAGAAGCAGTTAAAGTAGAGCCTCTAGCGGTTCTAGATAAGGATGAGGAAGTTGAATTTGTCTGGGGTAGAAAGAGAGGTATTGGTGGTAAGAGAAAGGAGGTGCAGTTTTATGAATCTTTTACCTATGATGGTGTGGAGTATGCTTTATATGACTGTGTATACATGCACAAGGAAGGTGAACTTCCTTACATTGGTAAGATCATAAAGATATGGGAAAATCCAGACAAGTCTAGGAAGATAAAGATCCACTGGTTTTTTCGGTCGACAGAGATCTTGTATCACCTGAAAGATGTAAAGGTAGCTGAGAATGAAGTATTTCTTGCCTCTGGTGAAGGCACAGGTTTGGCCAATGTTAATCCTTTGGTGAGCGTCATAAAACTGCTTTATCTCATTGTGTTTTCTTTCTGTCTGCTTTTACCTTATATTAAAATAGAAATTAACTGTGTAGAGTTACTTAAACCATATTGTTTTATGTATAGCAGAAACTATCTTTTAACCAACTGCTTATGGTTAGAGGAGTTCAATTTATGTCCACATCTAATGCAATATATATCTATTTATTGTCCACCTCGTCAATGTTAGTAAAACTCACTCAGTTCTTGTGGAGACGCTTCTGCTTATTTCTACTTCGTTTAGGTGGATCTTCAAGGGAAGATGGGCTTCTTATTGAGGTGATACAACACAAATTAACTTGAAACATATGTTATTACTGCCATCTTTCTAACTTACATAGCGGTTAATGTGGTGGAAGATGAACAACCAGAAGGAAGTCTGAGATGATTTATTACTTGCTGATGATGACAAAGCAGATGAACCTGTAACAATAAGTACTTCTCTATGAAGTTTGTCTAAAATGAGAGATGGGAGAAGCTAGCAGATTGATCTCTCCTATATTCCTACGGAATGCCAATTCTGTCCCTCCTTGTTGCCTGCCTGTCTGCCTTTTTACGTAATTTATCCTCTTTATTGAAAGGCTACCTCTTTCTAAATGATTTTTTGTTTGGGTAGTTCTTCTCGACCCAAGAGAAGGAAGAAAAAAGGGAATGATAAGGTGGGTGGGTGTTGGTTTGAATAGGCAAGGGGCTTCTGAAAGTTAAATATAGGATGAAAGGAGTAATTTTTTTAGAAACAAGTTGCTTCTTTTGCATGATTAGTGCAAAAGCATCAATGGCAGCCAAGTTGCCTAATTGTGATGGGAAATCATTGTTGAAAGTATGGGAGTCGAAAAAATGAATGAAAGGAAAATGGAAGGGGAAAAAAGAAACTTAGAAAGAAAAGCGGGCGAGGGGTTTTATTAGGTTTTGGAACAAAGACAAGAATAGAATTGATTCCTCTTTGCTTTAAGATCTGGCTGGAGCTTTTCTTTTTACCATAAGGGTGGGGTCTGATTAGGTTTGGGAACAAACTTACAAACAATAATTCAATAAATTTCTCTTTGTTGAGATCTTGTCAGAGTTTTTTTTTTTGCCACAAGGGCATTGAAGGTTTTGGTAAGCACCTGTGCTTGCTAAATATACACATAATTCAAATCGAGCGTGTACATCAATTATGCTGACGTGGACGACAATTAGGTGTTGCACGACCTCATCTTCCACTCCTCAAATTCTTTATGACTTCCATTGACGGTCGGTTCCACTTCTTTTTCTTCTTCACCATCACGAACAAAATTGTCACTTAAAGTAGAAACCTATCAAATCCTAATTCTTTTTTTTTTTTGGGAATTGGTACTTCTCAATTTCTCCTCCTCTTTCTCCACCATTGCCAACCTATAATTTCCACATAAACCTATTCAAACCCCTCTTCTCATTTTTCCCCACCATTACACACCCAAAAGATTCAACCAACTAGCAAATCCAAACTCTTTGTGATTAAAGCCAACTTGTGTCAAATTTCAAATGACCCATTTTCTACTTGTTCTTTTTCTTGTTGTGCGCTCTCACATCTCTTGAAACAATGAATGCCTATCCCAATGACAAAAGAGAAGTAAAAGATTTTCAAGGTCAACAATTGCAGGAGATAAATGAGAAGGACTAGGATTAAAAGAATGGGTTCTCAATTTTGGGTTAAAAAATGGTTTTACCATGAGTGGTGTTCAGAGCTTCTTTTCTTAAGGGTCAACATTGATGAGCGATGAGGTCGATTTCTCTGTTGGGATTGTTTCAAAACATTAAAGGTCATTTGGATAATTATTCCAATGTATCTCAACCTTTCTGCAAGTTCCAATTTAAAAGATTGGAATTGACCATTAGAAAACAAAACAATAGCCAACAAAACTAATTCTCCATTGAAGTCTTTTTTAATGAGCATTAAACCAAACAAAGAGTCTAATTACTAACTTCCTTACCGATGTAACTTCTATGAGACCAAAATGTGGATGCATGGTTGATTGTTTGAGTGATGGGGAGAAAAACTTCCAAGTTGAGTTAGTTTGTTTTTTCCTATTAAATCCTTTTTAATATGTATTCTTTATTGTTGTTCATGTTAATCTTGTTAGCCCATGGTACAAAGACCATACCTCCCTCTTGCTATTATAAAAGTTAACAAGAGAGTTGAGATTATACAATTGCGAGTAGATAAATTCTTGTGAAGTCACATAAATGCTTTTCATTTTCTTTTGGACATCATAGTTACAATCTATATATTTTCACAATAACAAAATAATTAGAAGAAGTTGACCAAGGGTAGTGGTGATTAGGCTTTTATTTTTAATTATTGAAAGAGAAATCTACAAATCATTAATGGAGTTGGAATGTATTAGATGACATGAACATGACAATTTGGAAACTTTCATGCTTTTAATATGCCTGATGTGCATGTGCTTTTGCCACATCAACAATCTGAAAAGGCAAGTATGTATGGCAAATGGCTAGAGGTATTATATGTGTTGTTTTGCATCTTTTGGACAACTTTTTATTATATTTCACTTTATTAAAAAGTACTTATCATGTGTGGTTTTAACAAGTAAAGATGTTAAATTGGACTTGCTATTGAAGGGGTGTTAACCTGGAACCTATTATTAAAAGAAGTGTTTAACTAGGACGTAGAGAAGTGAAATCAGGAGTACACTTGTATATAAGGTTACAATACAACCCATGTACTCTTTTGTGATATAATACAAAGTCACCAAGTTAAAAAAAACAAAAAAAGTGTTAAACTAGAGCAAGTCTTAAGTTAGGGGTTTGCCTTTTAAAAACGTGCAAGTTGGACTGTTAATTTGTGTATTGAGCCTTTTTTTATTCATTTAGCGTTGTTGTCACCCCCGAAGACATTTTTTTTGAACTTCCTTTGTGACTCATTAATGGACCAATAGGATTTGAAGAAATGTAACTTTTCATATCAGATATGGCTTGATTTAGTTAGAATTATGTCTTGTCGAGGTAGATTAACAACATATCCAGTGAAATTCCTCAAGTGAGGTTGGTGTTGAGAGGTGGAGTAATTATTATTCTTCGTTAAGCAAGTTGGGTTCTACTTTATGAATGTGTCACTTCATTTATGCTCACCCCAATCTTATATTATATGAAATAGAATAAAAAACAATAAAGTTCTTTGTATTTTCTACTAGTAATGGCATATAAACTTCTAACATGATTAGAACACCCTGAGCACCATGGACACTCGACATAAACAGAAAATCAGGCAAGGGAAGGGAATAATAATGGTCTCTCGAAATGCCCACTCGTGAATCTCGACAAGCAGTAGGTGAGCAAAATCAATCCTGTACCCAACCATCACACATGCAACCATCACTGCCCGATCTAAAGTCAAGTGGTTATCTGCCATGACGGGGTATAGTCGAGCACGTACAATAGACCACCAAAACATGGTCAGGAAATTCAACGAGGCCTTCTTGATTAGGGCTATACTGTGTACCCAATCGACATCAACACCTTGCTCGGTGATGTATCTTGCTACCTATTTGAGCAAATCTTCCTTTTGAGACGCGTCCTTCATCGCATTTTTGTTTCGGAATATATGCATTCCGTAATCAAACACAGCAGTAAAGGCAATCTGCTTGTAGGTTGGTCTATGGATGAACTCGTCGGTTGATACGCCCAAATTACACTTCCCAAAAGAAGAATAAACGATTGTTCAAATAAAGAACCTAAACATAGGTTAGGGTTGATCCCACGAGGAATGAGGTCTAGAATTAGCCTAATTGATTATTAGTTGTACATTTAGTCGAGTTATTTCCGTAATCGGGGGGTGGTGGTGGTTTGTGAAACAAAAACTTGAATTAATGGTTGTAGTAACAAGTAGGAGATTGACTGCTTGTAAAATCAATAGAAGATAAAACTAGGACATTTGTGTTCTCCACAAGTTCATAACACAGTTAACCTTATAGTAGTAGCCTTGTCTAGTGTCTAGCATGCAAAGTCGGTAAGTTAGGTATCTCCTAAGTGGATGGTCGCCCAAATAATTGAATTTCATCACGCAACTTTGGTCGGTCTACGGGTGTATGCTTTACTAACCCTTACCCTTGACCCTAGATTAGCTATCCCTGGTTCGTTCAAGTTATTAGATGAGGGTTGGTAACATCAAATCTTCGTTGTATAATCCCTTTTTCCATTCGTTACCCCTTTGGTCAGGCAAGTAGGAATAATGCGACTTCTAACGTAGGCCTTTGTTAAAAAGCAATCAAAGTGAAGAGATAAACAATACATGCATAAACACTATTCAAGAATTGCTAGTTATTAGGTTTGCGTTAATTCCTTATGGTTCCCACAACTCTAGTTGTGGATTTATCTACTCATGCTTGGGTGATCACAATTCATATTAATTTTGTTAAGATAAATCATGCACTTACAATTAAAGTAGTTGAATTCCGGAATCTTGAATTGATGAACAAAAGATGTAATAATAACCAACGATTCTAGAATTAAAATGGAGAAGTGTTTAACAATTTAATTCTCAAAACAAAGCTCCAAAGTATGATTTGTCAGTCTTCAAAAATAAATAAAAAACGAATATTTATAGACATCTTATCCTAAATAAAGTAGACTAAGAAAACATAGGAAAAGTAGGATTCGACAATCGCTTCTACAGTTCAGGTTCTACGGCTCGTAGGAACCTTTCGTGGAACACAACTTCTTCAATATTCCTTGGACTTTTCTATGGACATATTTTACGACTCGTCGAACTTTGCAGGACCCGTCCTGGCTACTCGTAGTCCAAGTTCTAGAACCCAACATCTTTGATCTTTTCTACGACTTGGACCTACGGCTCGTAGTCCAATCTCGTGGTCCCATACTTAGCTTCAAAAATCACTGGGCCCTTCTACGACTCATACCTACGGCTTGTAGGTCAATTCATCAAACCTCAAAATCTGTTGTTTCACTGTACACTCTTCAACCCGACTAGCCAAAATCTATTTTCCTGCAAAACAAAGATAAAATACCATCAAATCTACTAACAAGTGCGTAAAAGACATGCAAAACCTCAATTTTAAAGCATTATAAGTACCGTAAATACGCAGTACATCATTGACACACGTTACTCCCTAGACTCATGTAACTTTGCATACAACTACTTTGTGCGGTAGTACTTTTTTCCTCAGTTTTTAAATAAAATATGTGCCTTCATAAACTATAAGCTCTCATTGATCAAAAAAGTTGCAATCAGAGTGACATCTATGTTTTTTATGACGGTGTTCAGCTTGTTTGCGCACACCTCGAATTTTCCACTAGGTGATTGCTATTTTCCATTAGCATAGGTACTAGATAATTTATCCACCAAGGTGGGATGAAATCACCTACTGTTTTTTGCTTCCATGAGATATAAACTTGATGGTTCTTCACCCACTTCGTTAATTACTTCGCCATTCCCTTTAATGCAGAAACGTGGCCTATTTTTTCTTCCCCAGTGGTATGTGAATTATGAATCATATTTGTTCTGTTTGGTTGTCTTGTTATAGTATTCTCTATTTCTGCTATGAGTCTGTCCTGAGTTTGCATATAGCCATTGTCAATATCACGCGCTTAACTTGTAATTCATCATATGCCCGTCATTAGTGAATGCTTCCTCGTAACTGTAAGAGAGTTGGCTGCTTAACTTCTTGTCGATTAACTTGACCAGGAAGCTATTGCTGGCAGATGCAATGTTATCTGCACTTCAGAGGACAACAGAAATCCGCAACCATCAGATGAAGAAGTAAAAATGGCTGACTATGTTTTCTACCGTGCTTTTGATGTTGGAACTTGTGCAATTTTGGATAAGATGATTGACAAAATTGGTGGGCTGGATGGTATGTGCCTCAGCTCCCTGGGTGTCCTCTCTTTGTGGTGTCACTACAGTATAAGTTTCATTTTAATGGAATAATATAAAGCTGCTTAGATTAATCTCTTATGCAAATTTGTTTACGTTTTGGTACAGTGAAGTATGTTTTTAACAGGAAAGAGAGTGAAAAGGCCAGTCATGTCCTCAAACTTGCTTCTGACAAGAAAGATAACAAAACTGCTGTGGAATATCGAACTAATGGGGAGTCCTTTGGGCTGAAACCACAGAATCATCTTGGTGCTGCCAAACTGAGTCATTTACTTGGAAAAAGTGATGTAGATGGACAAAATTCTCTGGTTAGACAGGATGCCATACAGAGAGATACTAATGTTTCACGTGTTAATCAGGAAACTGCTAAGGAAGTGAATTCTGTCCCTGGTGAGAAAAACTCACATGATTTGGGAGTTGCAAAAGCTGCTGGTAAATCAAGTCATTTAGTGGGAAGAAATGATGTAGATGCGCAAAGTTCACCTATTAGAGAGGATGCCTTACATGGAGATGCAAATGATTCTCACAATGAGCAGCAATCAACAATGAAAGGAAATGCCGCGCCGGTGCTGGTTGTTAACAGCAAAATAGCCACTACAGTTGTTCACAACCAAAATACTTCAAGCGAAGAAAATGCACTCTACACGGTTAAGAATGATAAAAAAGTTAATACGCTTTCAATAGAACTCGTAGTAGCTGGTGAAAGAGGAAAACCTTCGAAGGATCTAGGCATTTTGGACGATAGGCCTTCAAAACGAATAAAAGTAAATGGTTCTGTGACACTATCAGAGGACAAGGGTGGGGACAATGTACAGAAGTCCACTGTTTGCACAAATGACAAAGAGGTTATGGGAACAGGTGCTACTCCTTCTGAAGAAAGAAAGAAATCTGGAGACAGTAAGCTTTCTGGTGGACTGGACAAGAACATGCAGAACAGAAAGGATGGTGCTGCCTTGGATATCAGACCTCCAAAGAGGGCAAACATAGACTCTCTTAAAGTAAAAGAGGATAGAGATAGAAGTAACATGTCAATTCGTAAGCCTGTTGACAATATAGGCAAGTTGCCTAAGTTATCTGCTGGAATATCCCCCAAGGAAGTTGAGAGGATGGGAGGCAAGAGCCTCATAATCACGCGGAGACCCATTGCAGTAAGTTTTGCCTCGAGCAATGTCATTTTCTTGTGAAGTTTAATTTGTTGCTAGATAAAATTGTGCTTAACCTGTTCTACTTTATCTTTTGTGAATCTGGTGCTGCTAGTTTGATAAAGAACTAAATATTTTCTTTTTGATGATACAATGGTGGTATTACATGGAGTTGCTTACTTTTCCATGCCATTGAGAAGTTTTTGGACCAACTTCTCTTTGATTGCAGTCAAGCATATAAAGACGTACCAAAATCTCTTGAATTGAAGCAAGAGAGCTTTACAACATAACATTTCTTTTATATTTAGAGAGACAAGCCTCATAGGAGGTCCATGAAGTAGCATCTAATTTAACCTATACAAATTGTAACTCAATAGATTGGCTTATTTTTATATATAGAAATAAGAATGGGAGTTTAGTTTGGTAATGGGAAGGTGTTGAATGTCTAGGATTTAGGAATTGATGGAGATTAAAGAGTTCGTTCATAAGATATATGAGCAACCCATTGGTAATGAAGGGGAGGTTAAGATGGTATGGGTAGAGGGAGAAGTGTTACTCCCTCCGTTTCACAAAGAATGACCTGGTTTGACTTGGCACAAAGTTTAAGTAAATAAAGAAGACTTTTGAATCTTGTGGTCCTAAATTAAAGTTATGTCAAATGTACAAAATTGCCCTTAAATCTTGTGGTCTTAAACATGCCACGTGGAAAGCAAAAAGTAAAATGTTACCAAAAAAGGAAAGAGGTCATTCTTTTTGAAACTGACTAAAAAGGAAAGGAGGTCATTCTTTGTGAAACGGAGGGAGTATATTTTTTATGGTTAGAGTTCATCTAGTAGTGAGTCATGCACAGTTGGGGCTAAGAGGGAGAGGTGTGGAAGAGACGGTTGATATTAAAGTTACTAAGATGTAATTCTTTGCATGCCGCATCATGAATGTCATACCCCGAGGCTACCCCCTGGACGTAAACACAGGACCTAGGATCACTGAGTGACCTCAAGCTAATCCTGAGCTGGCATATCATAAGCATACTAAAGCAATCTGAATATAATGATACTATGCGGAAGCTTAAAACCATAATTTACTGAAAGTGGGGAATACCCAATACTGATTTGAATATATGAAAGACTATGAGTTTAATAACAACTGGAAGATCAAACTCAAAACGAAAATTGAATCTAGTACTGTGTCTGAAAAAGCCTTTAACTGACTGGAGTTGACTAGAGTTGCTGGGACATGCCCTAGCTAACTCTAGCAAAATTGAAAACTGAATAAAAAGACTAAAGTGTAAAGCATGTCTGTTGTCCTCGAAGTATGAGGACTCACCACTGAAGCTGTTGAACTTGAGATCGGGAACCGATCTATGCGTGATCTGGATGCTGAGTACCTGAACCTACATCATGAAAGGATGTAGCGCAGAGTATGCATCAGTACTTGGAATGTACTGAGCATGCAGGATATAAAGTATAGTTGAATAAAATACATAACTGAACAAAGCATACTGAGCAATAACATAATCTGAACTGAATGTAAATGCTGGAATATACTAAAGACTGAACTAAGTGCAATGACCAAGTACTAATTCTGAACATGACATACTGAGACTGAATGCTGAAGTATAACTGAAAATCTGGTCGAGTGCACTAGACTCTGACCGATGTATACGTCTCATCGAGAGGACCCAATATACCTTGCCAGGGGTATAAAGGCATGACTGTTCGATATATACTCCCCATCGAGAGGACCCAATATACCTTGCCAGGGCTATAAAGGCATGACTGTCATGATCACTAAAGCTGATGCCCAATAGAGGGGAACAAAGGGGACTGATAAACCTACGGGGGCACATAGTTTTGGGACTATGAGGGTACGCTGAACCCTAGTCCAACTCGGTCTAAGCATACTCCCAACTGGAATGTGTATGACACAACAAAATTGAAATACTAGATAGCTCAATGTTCTGACATGCAAATCTGAGAATGCAGCATTTAAATACTGACAATGAAACATTCTTAACTGGAGCATGTTTATCTGTTTAAACTGACCTAGCAAGTGTAATTCATGAACTAAAAGAATCTACACAACTAGGGTTCTGAATTTCATGCAAAGAACTAAGCAGTGATTTCACGAAAACATGATTATCTGATTAGGAATACTATAACAACTAATTCACAACGATTCTGCAAGGTTTGAGAAACACTAAGACTAAACATGATATAGAGAATCAAGAATCTGACTGAATTCTAGGGACCTAGTGGATGGAAGGAACCCACTAATGAAATCTCACATACTTGGTGATGAAATCTACGGAGAAATCCTTCGATATCGGGGCTGGAACAGAAAAAAACCTGTTGTGTTCTTGGAAGGGTTTGGGTCGCCACTTTTCTTTCTTTTGTTCTAAATTTGATGAATTTTTAGTGAATGAATCGCTTAGGGAAAGATCTGACTAAGTTACTAGGCTTAAACTGACCAAAACTACATAGTTTAGGGATCAAACGACGTAGTTTAAGTGCCCAACGCATAGGGGAAAGAACCAAAACGACCATGACTTAATTCTGACAAAGGCCACCCACGGAGGGACCTACGGTTTGTGGATTGACCTACCAACCGTAGGTAGGGGTCGTCAGTCAAGTTTGCCCGACATGGCTTCACTAAAATGAGCATAACTTTTTACTCGGAGATGGGATTTTAGCAAACTTGGTGGCGTTGGAAAGAGGATTCCATTATCTATCATTTTAGGTCATGGGCCACCTAATTCCTTTGTGCTAAGAGTTATGACCGTTTGAAGTTGACCCAACATCAATTTCCCTCTAACTGGCTGCTGACCCTCACCTACGATCAGACCTACGGTCCGTAGGTCCAACCATGGACCGTCCTGATGTGGGTGGGATCAAAGACTATAAAGATTTGGGCCTTAACGACGGAACCCCACCTACGGTTCGTGGTCCCACATACGGTCCGTAGGTGGTTCCGTTTGTACTGGCACCAGTTTTCTGAAAACTAGGATGTTTCTTTATTTTGAGATCCGAGGTGTTACAATGAAATCCTAATGGTATTTGAGAATTACTACACATTAGATTCACAACATTGCTGGGAAGGCTTGCACGCCCTTTGTCCTAAGTGGCTTAGGTGAAGGAGAAGGTAAAGTGGTGGTGATCAATGGTTGGAGATCACCGAGGGTGCATAAGGAAAATAAGACAACTTGGAAGATAATACTTCTATGCACTTTTGGATGGTCTTAAATGGGAGGAACACAAGTGCCTACCATTTGCATGCAAGGGAATATTAGAATTACTTTGAATTCTTTTCTTTTGCATATACGGTTTTGGTAGTAGAAAATTACCATTTTTATACTTGATTGGAACAATTTGTTTGAAAATTGTGGTCAAGCCACTTACTCAGTTAGTAAACAGATTTAACACCATTTGGTGTGATATCATTGAAACAAGTTTGATTTATTGTTTAAAAAACTAAGAGAATTAGGTTTGTGATAGGCTATGCCGTTGAATCTTATGTCAAAAGAAAAAGAGATATTGTGTTAGTTGTAACTTTTTAAAAGAATGGTACACCCTTCGGGGTGGCCCAGTGGTTTGGGCTTGGGACTTCCATGTTGGAGGTCTCAAGTTCGAAACCCTTTGGCAGGGAAAGCAAGGGGTTTGCCTTCTGGGTCGAGCTCGTCGCACCGTGCTTGCCTAGTGCGGGTTACCTCTCCTATGTGATTTGCGAGCTATTGCATAGGAGCGGGGGTTTTACCCTGTGCACACCCAAAGGGTAGCGGCTGCGAGTTTCCCTTGTCATAAAAAAAAAGAAAAGAATGGTGCTATATTTATCTCATTTTATGCGACACTTCTCCTTTTAGTCTAAGAAATGATACCTTTCTCCTTTTGCAAGCTATTAACTTTAATATCCATGTTTAACCATTAACGACAACTTGTTGGGACCCATATAATATATAAGTTCATTCTTTTTTTAAGGAGAGAATAAGACGACATAAGGAATACTCATAATCATTCATTTAAAAGGATAATTTTGGTTCTTTACATATTAAACATGTCAAAAGTCTTCTTTACTTATAATTTCGTACCTAGTCAAACATGAAACACCTTCACATAAAATGAACTAAGCCTTAATATTGTCTATTCAAAGCTTTCTACAAAGATGGTAGCTCATTGTTACTCAATCCACTTTCATCCCTAATTGCCGTCACCATCATTATTGACTTTTATCATCCCAACCACAACCATCGTTGCCGCTAATCACCACAAATAGTTGTCATCACTACTAGCCACCATTTTACATTGGTCACTGCCAAGTGCCAACCACCACCCAGCACCACCATTAGTCACTACTATATGCTGCTAACCTCCATCATCATTTACCATCACCATTATCACTGTCCTCCTCCACAATTATCAATTGTCAAAGACTCAAAGTGAACCACTACCATTAACTACTATTACTAGCCACCGTTACCACTAGATTACCTTCAACCAATACCATCAACCAACATATTCTCTAATCACCCACAAACACTATGAACCGTCATATTATTTTCTTTACCTTTTATTTTATCCTCAATGTGTGCTACTTTTACTTTTGGCAAATGTGATTATATTTTTAAATTTATCTAATCTTGTATCATGTCACATCCATCTTATCATCCACATCTTTGCAATATTCATCTTGTGAATTTGTTAAAACTTTAGCGGCCCAACATTCATTACCGTATGACATTTTTTTTTGATAACCAAGAAATTTGCCTATGACCCCCCCTTTGGACCAATTACAGCCTTCGAAACTCGGTGGATAATGGGCCCGCCCCTCTACCCTTCTCCACTTAAATACTGGGCTTTGCTTTGCATGGTGTGGGGCTTGAACCTGTGATCTAAGCCACAAATCCTCCACCTTTTGCCACTCGAGCTAGGCCTTGGGGGCTACCGTATAACAATTTTAGCTTATAGCTATTCTAGAACTTACCTTTTATGTTGTTGGAAATCTCTCTGTCGCATGACGCGACACATCCTGGTAACACTTTTCCATTTCTACTTATCCTCAATAGCCAAGCTTTTGTTTGACACCTTCACTTGTTTCGTCAACTAAAACAATATCATCCATGAATAACATATACCATGTTATCTCATTTTATTTTTTGTTGGTTAGTTTATCCATAACCTAAGGGTAAACTTGCTTCCTTTTGAGTGCTCGTCTTAAATGTGGTTGTGCCCTTTTGGGCTGGTCAGGCTCATTTGATACCGATATCAATGAGAAATGCAGAAGGAGAGCCTTGTCGTATCTGGTAAAGTTGTTGCCATATGACTGGGAAGTCATAGGTTCAAGCCGTGGAAACAACCTCTTGCTGTAAGGTAAGACTACATACAATAGACCCTTGGGTCCGGCCTTCCTTGGACCCTGCACATAGAGGGATCTTTAGTGCACCAAGCTGCCTTTCTTATGTTTCTTGGAACTGCTTGCTGGCTAGACCATTCACTTAAACAATTTAATAAAAAAATAGACACCATCACTTTCTCAAAGTTTCACTTTGAAATATGAACCATATTCTATTACATGGGAACATGATAAGTTCTACTGTGTTTAGTTCACCCTAGTGTATAGTTTACTGTTGAGTCTTAAAGTAGACTACTAGTATAATGTAGATCGGGTAATTCATGATGTGCTAGCTGTAGTTGAGTCCCCTTTCAAAAGCAGAAAAGTTGACGTTTGGAAAATAATGCCACAAGAATTAATCCTTTCCGCATCTCAAGGGGTCATTCCAAATCAGTTCACGTAGACCAGAATGTGCAGTCAACATCTCAGGATTTTTATTGCTTTCGGAGATATAAAAGAGATGCAAAATTCAAGTAATTATGGAGAGTTAAGATTTTAGTTCTATATTCATGTAAGACTCATAATTTTGTAAAAACTAGTTAGTGACTAATTATGCTTTTTCCAATGATGGGAAAAAATGGATGTTTACTCAAAAAATATTTGCCTTTTCCCTTTTATCATTTTTTGGACGGTGAAAGAAATGGATTTACTTGCTGCTATCTGGTGTATGTGATTATAATGTCATCATCCCTTTTTCTACTCTAGATTTTCTGGTATAATTGTTTTTTCAAGATCTAATTTTTAATTCGGATTCATGTAATCTGTTGTGAGATGACATTAGATTGTTGATATCGTACGGTGGAAATTTATGCTTCTTCTCTCCATCATGGCTGCAAATTAGTTGGTTTTGTTTACAATTTTTTTTTTTCAAATATCAAACTCATGTAACCCCATTTCTTGTTTATTACAGGAGTCGAGCAAGTGGTTCAAGGCACCTGTAAGTGTTCCTATCCTTGGTCCTATATTACTTAGCTGATTAAGTAACTCTGTCCGATATGCTGATTATTTCTAGGAAATATGTAACTCTATATATTTTTTGTTCTTTTGATTCGTGCTACTATACGTTGTTTTGTGAACTTCGATTATAATATTACTTTGTTGTAGTTATTGTTCCTTTTTTTTTGAAGAATGGTTTGTCATGCTATGTTTAGTATTTTGTCATGACTTCTTCACTTTTGTTATTTCTTTTCTCGAACTACGTTGATATGCTTTTCCTTGAGCTGAGGGTCTATCGGAAAAAAGTGAAAACCTCCCTACCCTACCTTTACATAAGGGATAAGGTCTGCGTACACACTACCCTTCCCAAACCCCACATGATTACATTGGGTGTGTTGTTGTGTGTAGCTTGTCTCATGTCATAAATATGTCATAAATATAGGTGAAGTTTTTTGAACAAATGGCTTGTTGTGACCTATTTGAGCTTAGAATTGTAACTTTGTTGTTTTTCGAGAGATCCATTAAATTAAGTTTTTCACTCCTACGCTGACATGACCTAGTTGATTAAAGATCAAGTTTGATGGCTCATGTGTTGCTTGACAAGGACGTGAGACCGCAAAAGGCGTTGTCGTGGAATAAGTGTGACCTCTACTGTAGTGATTGAGCTATCTTTGAATCCTAGGTCATTGTTTGGCCTGTTCTTTTGTTACTAACGAAATACAGTCGACAATGATGGTGAAAATATATCCTTAGGCTTGGACAACTTAATTGTATAACGATTTGAAGTACTCTTTTACACTTTATCTTTTATTGTTTATTCGAGAATTCTCTTCTCGGTTACAACATTTACTAATTAGTTTCTAATTTCTTTATGAATAAAAGCTATTGTGAATTCAATGTATAGGACTTTGAAGTTTGTTTTCATGGGTTGAATTGAAAATTTATTTGGTTTTGCTTTTTATTTTTTAGTTGTTGAATGCAATGTTACTCCACATGAGATAGCTAAGGGATCTAGGAGGGGCTTTTGGAACTTCTCCATTTCTTCTTGACTCTAGGGTAGCGTAAAAAAATATTTGAAGTCTAAAACTCCTTTAGGTTTATTGTATGTCAAAACCTTTCTATATTACATCTGAAGTATTTAGCCTCAAGACCACACATCAACATTAAAAGCTATTTATCCCTTGTTGCAATACAAAATCATTCAACTTGAAGTTGATAAAAAAAGAGGGATGTCACACCATACTACCCCCCCTCCCCCACCACACACACACACAAAAGAAGAAGGGAAGCTTTGTCCAGTGAATTTCTACTCACTATGAACCCATTCTCATGATATGCCTAATTTTCATGGGAGTGAGTAATGGAAGTTGGCTGATTGCTTATTTGCTTAGTAGTGACATGTGATTGTTGGATGTTTGGGGGTAGGGAGGAGATAATGTATTTAGAGCTGGCTCTAGAAAACTGGTTGGCTCTAGAAAACTGGGCTTTTTCAGATTGATGATGGTTTTCGGGTTAATGGATTAGCACAAGAAAAATGTTTTGTCTCAGCAAATAGTGCAAAGAAGAGAGCTTATTTTTTTATCTTTAAAATCTTATTAAGTTGCATGGAATGATTCTTTTGGATGCCCATAATATGGAACTCACTCATCACGAAAAACATGGCTTACACTTAATTCTTTCTTTTCTCATCTATTAGTAGTGAAATGAAAAATAATGATTTGATATTGTTACAGCTTGGTCGAATGGTAAGAGTATTATATGTGGTGTATGGGTTAGACACAAGTTATGAGTTATAATTTTGCAACAAACAAATCTAGGTAGCTAAGTGGAGAGGTGTAGAGGGGTGTGAATGTTATCTACCGAGTACCGAACCGTATGCCAAAGGTCCTTGGGATTTCTCGGTTATTAAAGGAAGAAAAATATATGGTGTGATTGATGCTTTTTACATAAAATATAGTGATGTTGTGTCATTACATCTTATTTCAATAATGTTGGTTGAGCTAGCTTTCCAGGCAACTTAGCTGTTCCATGGGGTGCCTGTTACCTACACTAGCACATGTGCACAAGTATGGGGTAAATACCTACCAAGCCGTGGGCATATGAAAATAAATCACCATAACATATTTGTTAACGAATTCTTGAATACCAAACTAACAGAAAAAGAAATCTATTAAAGAATTGAGTGAAAAAATTACATAGTTCGCTATTTCTTTGTATATGCCCATGTCTAATTGACTGTAACTTAACAATTAGAAGTTACCATCACGTGTGGAGCTAACTATGTGTTAAAAATTGAAGGTTTCCCATGTGTTGGAGCTATGTTTCACACATTAGAGTTAGCTCGTGCAACATTTCCTGCATAACGATTAGTGCCTTAACAGAGTGCTCATGCTTTCGGATAATACGATCTTTATATTATTTGATAGGTTTTTGTAGATGAATTCTAATATCCTTTTCGTGTTTAATAAGATGACATAAGTTTCACTGTTTTTCTTTCTTCTCTTATTTAGCCATGGGAGGAGGTGATGCAAACATCAAATGAGCAAGGGACCCTTATCTTACTAGAAAATTTGAATCCTGAATATACATCAGGAGAGGTGGAGGTAATACCCTATCACATGCTATTTAACTTTTGATAATATCTAGTTTGATTTGATACCTATTTTGTGATTTTTTGTATGCGAGTATATCATGCTTGCTCTGGGGATTAAGTGTTTTTCTTTAAGTTTTTTAAAAGTTTTGAGACGGAAGAGAAAATGAGAGGGAACTATGGGGATTTAAAGGTGTTAAAAAGGAGATAAAGTGGACCCAAAATCCCATGACCCATGAAAGAAACTTGCCTCAAATGACCTCCAATCTTGGAATCAATGCACTAGGGGTCCTTAGTTCTATAAAAATCTTATGTCATTAGATTATCTGGAGAATTTTCAATTCTAGATAAACGATTTTTTTTTTATATTTGATTGAAACTGGCTTTATTGCAGTGACATGGACAATGAGGATTCATAGAACCAATAACTTTGGTTGATAATGTTATACTTGTTGCACTTTAATCTCGTTTCCGTGTTTGCAGTTGAGCTCATTGAGGTTGAGAATTAGCCTTAATAGGTTAATTTTTTGATTTGCCTGCTTGTTGCCAAATCCATATTAAATTGTCAAAAAATTCCCTTTTTTGTAAGATGCGGAAGGGAAAAGCAACCGAGCCAGATGAGATCTTGGTGGATTTTTGGAAGGACGCTAGCGAGGCATGTATATGGAGTGACTAATTGAGTTATTTAATGTCATATTTAGGACGACTAAAATGCCAGAAGAATGGAGGTGGAGTACAATGGTTCCATTGTACTAGGATAATGGTGATATTCAGAATTGCAACAATTAAAAGGGTATCAAACTACTAAGCCATACTATGGAAGTTTGGGAGAGTGTGGTTGAGATGAGGATGAGGAGGGATGTGTTTATCTTTGAGAACCGTTTTCGATTCATGCCGAGGTGACCAACCACAAAACCCATTCATCTTGTATGGAAAGTGTTGGAACAATATAGGGATAAGGAGAGAGCCTTATAAATGGTGTACATTGACATGGAAAAGGCTTATGATAAAGTCCATAGGGAGGTCCTTTGGAGATAGAGATGTTTGGACTCTAGAGGTGTACCTGTGACTTAGATTAGGGTGATTAAGGATAAGGTACAATGGAGCTATGACCAGGTTAGAATAGTGGGTGGTGGCGCAGAATACTTCTTGGTTGTGCTAGGGTTGCACTAAGGATCATCCTTTAGCCCGTTCCTATTTGCCATGGTGTTGGACGAATTGACATGAAATATCCAAGGGAAAGTGCCACGGTGTATGTTTTTTTTTTTGAGAATGGTAAAGTTGTATTCATCAGCAATGAGGGTATGCTGGCAACCAAACAAAAAAACATTCAAAGGCCAAATAGTCATGATTACAAAGAGCCTATGAAATCTACTAACTGATCTACTTCATCTATACCCTCTTCTTTACACCAAAAATATAGAGTATTAATGCAGTTTTCTTTAACTTTCTGCATTGGGTTAGTAATATTCTTAAAGCACCTATTGTTTCTTTCCTTCCAAATTGACCACCATATGCAAGATGGAACTAGATTCCACCATTTTTTCTGTGTTTTACTCCCCCCTCTTCTCATCCAACAGTTTAGTAAGTCAGCAGTATGCTCAGGCACCACCCAAGGATCTTGAATAATGCTTTGAAGCATATACCATATCTGGGAAGTCACTCTACAGTGAAGGAACAAATGAAAGTGCCACGGTGTATGTTATAGACAGATGACATAATATTGATCGACAAGACGGCGGTCGAGTTTATGAAAGGTTGGAAGTTTGGAAACAAGCTCAAAAGTTTAAAGATTTCAGTCTTACCCAATAGAGGAAGCTTCAATCTTGGGTCAATAATTCAAGGAGACAAGGAGATTGACGATGATGTCGCACATTATATTGGATTGGGGTGGGTGAAATGGAGGCTCACCTTCAAGATACTGTGCAATAAGAATGTGTTGCCAAGGCTTAAAGGTAAGTTTTACATAGTGGTGAACGTTGTTGCGTGAGGCAGAATGTTGGCCCATAAAGAACTCCCATATTTAGACTTCAGAATTTGAAAGTAGCAAATGGATGCTCAAATGGATGTGTGGGCATACTAGGAGAGATATATTAGCTAATATAGATATATTTGGAATGAAGTTATACGGGATAAGGTGGGAGTGACCTTTGTGGCGGACAAGATTTGGAAAGCAAGGTTGAGATGGTTTCGAGATAGTGAAAAAGAGGTGCATGATTGTGCCGGTAAGGAGGTGCGGGAGGTTTGTTGTAGCAAGAGTTAAGAGAGGTAGAGTTAAATCGAAAAAGGACCGGAGAAGTGATTAGCTAGGACATGACACAACTTCAGCTTACCGAGGACATGATCCTAGATAGGAAGGTTTGGAGTCAAAGTTTAGGTAGCCAAGTGTCGCACTTTATATAAGAGAGGTAGGGGACTAACCTCCTCCCCTCCTATTCTCCTTATTAGTATTATTTAGTAGTCGCGTAATCTCTCTGCTGCTTAATTTACTTTGTTTCTTGTTATTTTATTGTCATATTTTTTTTTGTAATCCTGCTTCAAAAATATTTCTTTCGAGTCGAGGGTGTGTTGAAAACAACCTCCCTACCCCACATGTGGGATTACAATGGGTAAGTTGTTTTTACTTTTCTGTTCCTTTTGTCTTGTTTGAGAGCTAGGGAGAAACAAAAAGAGTAGAAAATATTAGCTTTCCTGATTCATTCAGTTTCTTCTTCATCTGCAAACTGTCCTAATTTAACTGACTGTTGTACTGTCATTCTCCATGCCCTTTGCGATTATGTATCCTACTAGGCAACTTACTATCATCCTTCTTGCCCTAAACACTTACGTTGTTATTATGAATGAAGAAGAGTTGTACAAGTTCCTTACTCACAAATCTAAGGTGAAGTAACCGTAACTGGTACAATCATAGAAATACCTCATTGTTTGGCTTCTCAAATATAATTGCATCATTGATGATTTTTTGTTAAGAAAGTTAAAAATGATGATGGAGAGGAGCACACGTTTTGATTCCATGAATGAAGAAAAGTTGCAGCCAAAAGTAAAGGTCTACTATTAATTGTTTGTAGTTTTTCTTTCATGGTTTGAGTAAATTCGAGCCATCTCCACAGAGAAGGACCATGTCATAGTTGGCTGTGATTTTCGTTGTATGTTGAGTCAAAAGTTTCTATTACGAATTAGCTTGAGATCTGTCGTTTTGGTAGCAGTAGTTGAAGGAAGAAACACCCTAATAGAAAAGTGAAGTAGCGAGACCCATTCTTTTGGTTATTTGAGGAAAAATCTTGACACGAGCTAAACGAGAGGTATTTTAGTCATTTTGTGATCTCAAATTAGAGACTTATGCCATGTTTATATTTCATGCCAACCATCAAAAGAGTTCGAGGTTGAATCAAAAGTTTACATAAATAAGAAGGGCTCTTAGTGGTCAATGAAGTGGTTGAGAACCTTGAGGTCTCAGGTTCAAAACTCAGTGGAGACAAAAAATTCTAGGTGATTCTTCCCATTTGTCCTAGCCTTGGTTGATGAAGTTACTTGGTATCTGTTGCTGGTGGGAGGTGGCAAATATCTCGTGGAATTAGTCGATGTGCGCTAAAGCTGGCCCAAACACCATGGTCATCAAATAAAAAAAAAAATAAGAAGGGCTTTTTTTCCCATGACATTATGATGTGACCTAGCGAATCTTATCTTGGTCTCCCCTACTTTATCTCATATTGCGTGATTCGGCTGGAAGAGCTTGGTGCATTTTACTGAATAAATATTTGAGCTTTGTATGTTTGTAGCTCATCCTTCTATGGTTCGACTTAACATTGTCTCATTATTTGACAAATATTAATTCCGACCAATAAGTTGTCAAAAAGAAAAAAGAAGTTAATTCCAATCAGTAAGTCATAATTTTTTGAAATTGAAGGCTGGATAGTTGATGGTTTCTATTGAATTTCTTGTGAAGTTCTCCCAGATTTTACTTTTAAATACTAGTCGCCCTTTATATTGGTACTCAACCTTTTTATCTTTAGCCAAAACAGGAAAAAAGGCATGGAAATAGAAATAGGAGAATGCTAATTGTGAGAGACAAGATTACATATCCTTACATAAACCATGACAACGAGAAGTATAATCTTTTTTGTATCGAGGAAAGTCATTCGCGGTCCAATAAAGTGCTCTATCATCTTCGGTCTCCTCAACATTGGCTATAGTGTTTCCTGATGATATTAGTATTTTGTTTATCTGTTAGGCTACCACTGTATACATGTATATTTAATAGTGATTTTATGTTAAAACACGGTTCTCTTCAAAGTAATTAATAGTGATTGAGATACTGTTTGTGCTCAAGAAGTGTTAACAAGAAAAGAATAAAGCTAGAATATTCTGGAAATTGTTTCTACATTGGCACCAAAGGTGGTGCTATTCTCTGTGCTCTCTTTTGAACGTCTTTCCTAGGAGGATAGTTCTGGTTAATAATATCACCTTTTCCATATTCAAATATGTCCCATTTCCCCTTATCCTACCCCAATTTAAAATAAACAAATTTTTTGTACCCCAAATTTTAAGAGTCTTTCCCTAGACTCCTTATCGAGGCACATATGCCAAACGAATTAAAATGGAGGGAGTACATTTTTATTTTCTTATTCCTATTCATTGAAACTTGATCGGTAATGTTTTTTTAACTATTAAATATATCATTTAACGAAATATATTTATCTCTATTGATGCTGATAAGGCACGTATCTTCCATACCTATTCAAGGAGGAAGAAGTGAAGAAAGATAGGAGAAGATAAGGATTGAGCAGTTTCTTATGGTTATTAACTATGAGATACTTGTCTCTCTTTGTATTTTCTATTGTTCTAAGAGATATGAGATACTTGTGTTTCTCTTTGTATTTTCTATTGCTTTTATCTGGTATAAAACCTCGGTTTCTATCAGATGCTCTGTTTATGATAGAGCTCATAGGCAATGAGGCTCTTGTTTTAGTGCCATGGTGCCTTTAGCACTTCCTAGGTGAGGCGAATCACCAACTTGGCAGTCATCTTGCCTTAGGGATTGAGCATACTTTAAATGAGCCTTTAACAACATTGTCCGTTGCCCTCCATCCTATTATCCCCGAGGCTTTTCCAATTTGTGGACTGATGTTCCTACCGAAGCTTGGAGTTCCCATGATGAGGCGGAGGAATTTTAAGGGGAAATTATGGTTTATCTGGTGAAAGAAAATGATTGTAATATGTACTATGCTCATAACATGCATTTTCCCACTGTCTCTTGTCCTCTTAAGTTTCCTATCTATCTGGTCTTATCCTTTTTATTAGCACCAACTGTTTGTTGGGAGGAGGCTTGCTTGTATTTTGTAACTTGTGCATGGCTGTCTTGTTGTACTGACATTTGTGTTGATAATGTTACAGGATATTATCTGGCATGCATGTAGGGAAAACTGCACAGCCAAAATGGTTCAGCGCACTGCTTTCTCTAGTCCGTACTATGGTATGTTTTCAAGTGTCAATCTTTCTGTATACATGCTTCCACTAGTTATCTTATGGGAATGTTTTTTTTGTCTGTCACAATCATATATGAGTTTATGTTTCTTCGTTCACCCTTTCTACGGGAGACTGGGCAGCTTATTGAATAAGAAACTGTGCTTTATGATCATGATATGTCCTGTGTATTTGCGTTTGACATTATGTCTTGTAATTTGGTAGGTAGAGCATTAGTTGCATTCAAAACAAGAGAAGCAGCAGAAAGGGTCAGTAAAAAGCTGACTGAGGGATGCTTAATGATGTCAAATCAGAGGTATTTATATTCAAGGTTGTTTTGGCAATAAATATTGAACACACTTGAGTGTCCTTCTGAATTTTAGGATGAGTATTCAAAGCGGTTTGTTTGCTTAGTTAGATTGGTTAGAATAACATCTTCAATTTTTTTTTTTGGCAAAGCTACTTCCTAAATGCTTCCACATGGTACTGTTTTGGTACTTGTGAAAAATGTAGTAGACTTGTATTGGTTTTTAGATGATTCGTGAAATATCGAGTTCCAAACCTACTTTCCTGGGAACACCAATGCAGATTTTGTTTTTCCTTTATTGTGTAAACTGAATTCAGTACATGACACCAAATATACAGGACTGTTCCCATCCAAAGCAGTTCTAATTTAATATTGTGTCGATGCTTTCCAATCTCTTGCCATTCAGAAAATTTATTCTGATCATTTGATTCTCTTGTGGGTTGTTGAACATTAAGACTTGGACTTAATAAGACTTGGTCCATATCTTCTAATCTGGCTGGTGGGGTGGGGTTTTGCGGCGAACTAGAATGATCCTCTTGTGAGTTGTTGAACATTAAGAGTTGGACTTAATAATACTTGGTCCATATCTTCTAATCCGACTGGTGGGATGGGGTTTTGCGGCGAACGAGCCACTTCTTGTGATGAAATCTTGCACAGAATAGATTGATATTGGTTTGGACTTGGTTTACAGGAAATCCTTCATATTACTTGTGACTATCCTGCTTTTTGTTTATTTATCTGTCTTCTTTTTTTCTGGTCTCCCTGCTTCCTTCTTTTCAACTTGGTGGTTATCATAAGCTATGTTTCGTACCCAGCGAAGCACCTGGGTACAAAATGTTTACTTTTGATATTGCTTTTTTGTCATGAACAATCGTATGGTGAAAGACCTCGGGGAAGGTTTCTATTTTATCATTACAAAAACTTAAGAGAAGTTGTTGGGGATGATTGGTATGTTCTATCATCTTTTGTATATACATTAGTGTCTTTTTGTTCTTACCTTACCTTACTTTCTTATCTGGAGAAACTAGAATATTAATATATAAATTGAGGTGTTATTACATGTTTGGACAATACCTAGGTAGCCCCTTCAAGTTAGTACGATTTGTCAGTTAGACACTCCTACTTAAGTTGTTACCATTTGAAGACCTTTGTTTTAGAGAAGTGTGTTTGTGAACACTTGTGTCCACAAGACAAAAACAAGTGAAATACACGTGTCCGATAGTCTTCAGCCAACTTGCATGCACCTCGACTAATTTCACTGGGTACCTTTTACCTCCTACCAACACATGTATTGGGTTACTCAGTCCACCAAGGCTTAGGTAGATGGGAAAAATCACAAAGTAATTTTTTATCTGTCAAGATATATGTCGGGATATTAACCTGAAACCTCATGGATCTCCCTACTACGTTGATTACTATGCCACGTACACCGTATTTTAAAAAGAAATACTATCGTTATCACTCCTTAGTCATCCGACAGTTTACAATAGTAGTTATTTCTTTCTAGTAGTTATTAGTTGTTTCTTCTAGTAGTAGTTATTTCCCTGTTGTAGTGCAGCTTTTCATTCCAGTAATGTTAGGAATTATTCAAGTTTTTGAGTACTTCAAACTCAAGAGATTACAGGTTCTCTCTTAACGAACCAACACCATAGGTCGTAGGAAGAAAATGTCTGATTTCATATTGTAGTGTCCCATAACTAGATCCATATCAGGGGACCGCAGCAACTTGGTATCAAAGATAAGAGATGGGAGTTATGGGAGACCAAGTTCAACATCAATTTGCACAATTGGTAAACTTGTTCTAAGAACGTGCAACCAATTTGACCTGACAAGAAGCAATACATGCTCGTTTGGATGCACTCACAAAGGATTTAGCAAATTCTAAGGTCGTTTATGATTCAACTGAACATACCAGTCAGAATTGTGGTTGGAAGGGTAAAGATAGAGTGGCAGGATGGTCAGGATCAGAAGTAGGAGGAAATTTCATCATTCCTCTACATACAAAGTTGGATTTCTCACGATTTAATTTAATGGCTAAGAGGACCCTTTGGGATGGTTGAACATATGTGAACACTTCTTTCGACACCAACAAACTCTAGAAGAAGAAAATGTCGGACTTGCTTCTTTTCATTTGGAGGGCAATGCACAACTTTGGTTTCGTCAACTAGAGATAGATATGCCTCAACCATCTTGGGATGAATTCAAACGTCAATATAACCTTTGCTTTTGGCCACCAATCAGAAGTCAGAATTTGGGAGAATTGGCTAAGTTATGCTAGATCGGGTTTGTGGTAGATTACCAAGAAAAGTTTGAGCAGTTAATTTCGCGAGCTGATACACTCAGTCGCAAAAAATTGAACTTTATATCAGCGGTCTTATTAATTATGTTGCTATTGAGGTTGAGCTGCATAATCCTCCAGATTTGGCTACGGCGATGAGTCTATCCCGACTTTATGAACAACCCATTATTCGCAATTGTTAGATGCTTACAAATCCAAGACAATGGATTTCTCACCTTAACAACATACCTAATTTTTGAAGAAACTGACCAAATCTGAAATGGAGGAAAAGATAACTTAAGGGACTTTGTTTCAAGAAACTTTTCGCGATTGACTATAGAAGGAGGAGAGTAATGTTATCACTCCTCAGTCATCCAACAGTTCACAACATTAGTTATTTCTTTCTAGTGGTTATTTGTTGTTTCTTCTAGTAGTAGTTATTTTCCTGTTGTAGTGCAGTTTTTCATTCCAGTAATGTTAGGAAGTTTTGTCCTAGTTTTTAGGGGTAGTTATCTTATAAGTTTTGTATCTAAACTCTCTGTTAATGCTATTAAATCTAAGCAGAAAATTATTCAAGTTTTTGAGTACTACTTCAAACTCAAGAGATTGTAGGTTCTCTCTTAACGAACCAGCACATTAAGTTGTAGGAAGAAAATGTCTTATTTCATATTGCAGCGTCCCATAATTTGAGAATTTCTTGGGGAAGGATAATGATGATAGTTGGTCAGGTTCCTTTCCTCTTTTTTTTTTTTTTTGGATAAAGGATGATAGTTAGTCAAGTTATTAGTGTAGGTTGTATTTTTCGAGAGAACCTGCTACCAGCTAAACATTTTTGGCTGGGAGGATTCCTGTTACATAAAAGCTTCTTTAATGCACAGGCCGATTGTTGCTAGCTTTGTAACTCTTCCGAAAATGGAAGGAAACACTCCATCATTTGCTGGGCATCTATGTGTTGACAAATTAAGACTACAATCGCAGCGGGAAATGGTCAGTCTCTCTCCCATCCACTCTGTATCACCCACCCGAAGAAAGGACTTGCTTAATGTGTTCAGTCATGTTTATCTAGCCTAATAAAATCATCGTTGTTATTCAGAAAGAAGCAGTTTCTACTTCTCATTGTTCTCAGCCCAACACCATAGAGCATGAAATGGGCATTGAGTGGCGCTTACTGCAATCAAGATCTGACAGCTGGTGGAATCGGCTATATAAGGTCTGGAACTAGTTTGTGGTTTTCCAAGTTTGGATCAGCATTGCTCTTCTTGTATTTTACACAACATTCTGATAACCCTCTTTAATTGTTTGTTCTAGCAACAAAAAGAGGAACTAAGAAAAATAGTGTCAGAACTCAAGAGAAAATGAGAATCAAGCTGCAGTTTTGTACATAGTCTACTTCTGGTTAGTACACATTCCTGCCATGTAATTTGTTGTACTTATCTTGTTCTATTATTGAGGGATTTGTGAATTATTTATAACTTAGGATATACAAAATGTTATGGAGGTTGCGGTATATGAATTTGAAGGTTGTCACATCATGATGGCACCATTTCAAACATTATCTTATCTGAATATTATCTACATATGAAGAGAAGAGACAGTGTTTGTCCATGAAACAAGCGTACCAGATGAAAGTGGTTGATCTTTGAAGAATAAATGTGGTGACTAAAACTTTAAAGCTCTCTGTTGTAAAAATGGATAGTACTATGGGTCAAGAGTGGCATCAGTATGTAGGATCAGCTGTTTGTGAGAAGGAGAATGTCAATAGAGAATTCATGGTATATGCTAAAGATTTATTTTTCCACATTTTAACTCTTGTGCATAAGATAAGCATTGCACTAATTTTCTTTTTTCCCCTCATATTTGAGCATTATTAATTTATTATTTCTTTGTCTTCGCTCACAACTGGATTGTCAATAAAGAAGGTAGTATTTTAATAAAGCTGTCATAAAAGTAACGTTAGATTTACACTCTTGGCCCCAAATTTATAATGTAGTGCTGTTTTTTCTTCTGTTGTTGGATGAATGCTGTGGAGAATTACATTAGATAAAGTGTGCACCGTATTACTGTTTTTAATGGGCTTATACTTTATGTAAACCATACTACTGTTTCTTTTCTTGTTTTCTTATTAGTTGTTTTTTATGTTTGAAAGTACAGATTTCTGACTTCTTGGACCTGACTTCTGGTAATGGTGTTCTTCCAATAAGTTCATTGGAGTAATGCAAGTCTTTTGTTCGATTGACACATCTGGTGGTTAGGATCTCTCTCTACTTTATTTAACCTTAAAGCTGTATTCTATGCAAGGGTTCTTTTCTTTTACACCAAAGATGGAGTAAAATTATCTAGTTCCATTAAATGTTATTGAAGTGAGGATAGGAACTATTACTCCTAGCTTTTCATGATGGGTCTATCATGTGATAGAAATACTATATTGAAGAGAGAAAAAGGACCCTTCCTCCTAGCTTTTCATGGGTCATTCTGCAAATCAGCTCTTTGTTTTGGCAAAGTCTTTTGGGGTACTTTGATTCTATTTTCAGCACACTGGAGTCCTGTGTTTTCTCGCCCAGGGATTAGGTCTAATGGTAAGAATACAACGCGTGATGTGTGGGTTAGGCATTTGTCATGAGTTTGAATCTTGTTGCAATTTGAAGCCTGGTATATAAGTGGAGAAGGGTAGAGGGGTGGTCCTTTTATCCACCGAGTTCGTACCATGTGCTTGCTAGCCCCTAAAGATTTCCCGTTTATCAAACTAATGCCTTGTATTTTACCATTAACTCGTCCCTGAAGGATTGCTAGTGACTAGTATTACTTTCAGATAGTCGGTATGCGATGCACTTAATTTAATTTACCATTATTTGTTACATTCGTTTAAATGACTATTTGTGTTATATGCATGTTGATTGAAACCTCACATGCTGCTCAACTTGCTTATAAATATGTGGTCATGCCAAGCATGAAAACTGAGCTGGAATAGATGATGTGCTTGCCAGTTGGACAAAATTACCAAATATTTAACTGATTTGGTGATTTTTGGCTCGACAGGTTCGGGGATAGATGACTAGTAGACACTCATTCCTCCAAGCGTCTTGGCAATTTTTGGATGTACCACAATCCTCCCTACCTTCCTGGGTGACCTCAATCTCATAGTTGGGGCAATTGATTAATGTCAAAGTCACAAAGTTTAGCTTGCAGCAATATACATATTTTTATCAGAAATTTTGCTCCATGAATCGCTCTGGCATAATCTTTTGTTCAGCATATCTTTAAATTGAAAATAGAATCTCTTATCTTTGGTTCTTAATTAGGGTCAGCAAATGGAACTAAACATTTTCCCATTGAACGAGCATTGGATTCATTTGTTTAAATGGTATTAAGTTTGAACGTGCACGTAATATGATTAAACTATTTTACCTCCGTTTTTGGCCAAAATACTTTCTTAGAAGTGAACTGAGTGCCCGGGTCCACCAAATATAAGGACAATGAGGAGGGCGCGCCAACAAAATTTAGGAAAATCAACAATACACAATCTCACGAAGCAAGCATTTAGGGTTTTATGACCCTGAGGCACAAAAACACCATGTTGGTCAGGTAGAATAATCAGGTTGTTTCCAATGGACTTGCTAAATTTGTGTCAGCTTTTTGAGCGCTGGTAGGTATATAACTGCGTTTCATTACCTTTTGATGTCAAACAAGGGACATCTGTCATGAGGAGGTAATGAGTTCTGGTAGCTACACCTATAAAAATATTCACAAGTTAGTACTCATGAAATAATTGGGAAAATACTATATGAATATGATGCGCTAGGTGATTATGGATGGTTCTACAAAATTTTTGTACAAGTATTATTTATAAGATATTCATAAGCTAATGTCCACGAAAAATTGAGAAAAAGAATCAAATTTCTATTTCATGACCTCTAAATGCTAAAAAAATAATATGAATTTCTATAAAAGCTATGAGTATCATTCACTAGGTAATTATGGATGGTCAAGCCAAATATGCAGTCAAGAGTTCGCCCTTCGGGATAAACGCACGCCATTAAAAAGGTCGTCACAGAAGCTCACAAAAAAATTTGGTCCAAAATTCGTCGGGATCACATATTACCCAAAATTCATGGACAATAGCACACGTAAAACGATAAATTTGGTATATTCTGCTCTAGGCCTCGTTTGAACTTGAAAATGCGAACGTTTGCCCCTCGAGACCAACACACGCCATCAAGGTCTTCACGGATGCCCACAAAAACTTTCAGCCAAAAACCTATTGGGATCACATATCTCCCAAAATTCATGGACAATAGCACACATAAAACGATAGATTTGGTATTTTCTGCTCTAGGCCTCGTTTGAACTTGAAAATGCGAACGTTCTGCCCTCGGGACCAACACACGCCATCAAGAAGGTCTTCACGGATGCCCACAAAAAAATTCAGCCAAAACCCTGTCAGGATCACATATGACCCAAAATTCTTGGGCTAAGCACACGTAAAATGGAAAATTCAGTATTTCCCACTCTGGGCCTCATTTGAACTTGAAAATGCAACGTTTGCCCCTTGGGATTAATGCGTTTACCTGCTTTGGGGCTCGTTTGACATTGAAAATGGGCCGTTTTGGCCGGGAGAGCCAACTGGCTCCATAACTAATGTAACACCCCGTACGAACTAGTAAGACCTAGCTAAGGCTCGACTAAATCTAGTAGGTTGAACTAGAGACTCACATGTTAGTTTATAGTTGAAAACTTGTTTAAATGATGAAAAATGGCTATTGAAGCTAGTTTGGTGATTTTAGAGGTCAAACGTCAAGAAACGACCATGATGTTTGAAAACTAGTAGACTAAACGAGGGCTAAGTTTGAGGGTTAGAGCCAAGGAAGAGGACTAGGGCAGTCCACTCTTTCATGGACACTGCCTCACCTTCCACGACCACCACCACGGCTCGTGGTAGGCTAGGCAGTGGCTAAACAAAGACTGCCCAAAAACAACCCCTCCACACGAGCCACTTCACGGCTCGTGGTGATGACCACGGCTCGTGGGAAGGCTCGTGGTGGTGCCTTAGATTTTTAGGGGTTAAGGGGAAGGTTTCCTAGATAATGTATCATGACCACGAGAGGCACCACAGCTCGTGGTAGGCACCACAGCTCGTGGTAGGCACCACAGCTCGTGGAGCCTCACGTGAAGGGCTTTCCATTAGACTTAAGAGTATAGGGTCAACTTCAAATGGTCATATCTCTTAGCTCAAAACCAATTAGGTGTGCCATGACCTATAGAACTAAAGGTTTCAGAGTCCTCTTTCCAATGCCACCGAGTTTTCTCAATTCCGATCTCAGAGTAAAAAGTTATCTCCGAAATAGTGAAGCACTGTCAGGCTGAAAAATCTTCACGACCCGTTTCACGGGCCGTGGTGATGATCATGGTTCGTGAAGGCTCCAATGATGCCATTTTGGCAGTTTCCAGCAAGTAACTTATTGGGTCTTTTCCCAATTATTTTAACTCAAGGATATCTCGTTTCTCCCAAGCCTAGGACCCCTATTTAAGTCATTTTAACCCCAAAACTCACCCAATTAAATCAATTATTCCAAGACCCTAATAAAACCCCAACTCCTTTTTCCTCCCAAAAAGTCTTCTCTCTCAAACCTCCATTGAAGAACATGGAAGGAGATCAACTAGGGCTTGAAGATGGAAGCTTTTCATCACGAAATTTATGGGATTCTAAGGCTAAGGTATGGGAGTCCTTTATTCTTGGTTAGTTATCACCAAGAAGCCCTTTCAACTAAGTTTTCAAAGATCCCCAATTTCTAGGTCTTCAATCAAATTCGTGGGTCTCTTTCTAAAATCGATTCCATTGATCTCAAGCTAATTCGTAATTTCGGATCATCAAAAAATCCATGGGGGGTTTACCTGCTCCAGGGTTCGTTTGACATTGAAAATGGGCCATTTTGGTCGTGAGGGCCAACTAGCTCTATAGCGAAGGTCTTTACGAACGTCCATGAAAAGTTTAAGAAAAAATGAGGTCGGAATTCTGGATCACCAAAAAATCCATGGACTATAGCACAAGAAAATCGGCAAAATAGGGTGATTACCTGCTCCGGAGCTCGTTTTCCCTTGAAAATGGACCAGTTTGGCCGTGAGGGCCAACTGGATTCATAGCTAAGGTCTTAACGGACGTCCATGAAAAATTTAGGCAAAAAATGAGGTAGGAATTCCGGATCACCAAAAAATCCATGGACTATAGCACACAAAAATCGGCAAAATAGGGGGATTACTTGCTCCGGAGATCGTTTGAACTTGAAAATGGATTGTTTTAGCCGTGAGGGCCAATTGGCTCCATAGCTAAGGTCTTAATGGACGTCCATGAAAAAATTTCGGCAAAAATGAGGTCAAAATTCTGGATCACCAAAAAATCCATGGAATGAGGTCGAAATTCTGGATCACCAAAAATCCATGGACTATAGCACACGAAAGTCGGCAAATGGGGGGTTTACCTACTCCAGGGATCGTTTGACCTTTAAAATGGGCCGTTGTTGCCATGAGGGCCAACTGGATCCATAACTAAGGTCTTAAGGGACGTCCAAGAAAATTTTTGGAAAAAATGAGGTCGAAATTCTGGATCACCAAAAATCCATGGACTATAGCACACGAAAGTCGGCAAATGGGGGGTTTACCTACTCCAGGGATCGTTTGACCTTTAAAATGGGCCGTTGTTGCCATGAGGGCCAACTGGATCCATAACTAAGGTCTTAAGGGACGTCCAAGAAAATTTTTGGAAAAAATGAGGTCGAAATTCTGGATCACCAAAAATCCATGGACTATAGCACACGAAAGTCGGCAAATGGGGGGTTTACCTACTCCAGGGATCGTTTGACCTTTAAAATGGGCCGTTGTTGCCATGAGGGCCAACTGGATCCATAACTAAGGTCTTAAGGGACGTCCAAGAAAATTTTTGGAAAAAATGAGGTCGAAATTCTGGATCACCAAAAATCCATGGACTATAGCACACGAAAATCAGCAAAATGGGGGTTTACCTGCTCCGGGGATCGTTTGACCTTGAAAATGGACCGTTTTGGCCGTGAGGACCAACTAACTCCATCACTAAGGTCTTAACGGACGTCCATGAAAACATTTGGCAAAATTGAGGTCGAAATTCCAGATTACCAAAAAATCCATGGACTATAGCACACAAATAATGGCAAAATGGGAGGTTTACCTGCTCCAAGGTTCGTTTGACCTTGAAAATGGGCCGTTTTGGCCGTGAGGCCAAACTGGCTCCACAGCTAAGGTCTTAACAAACATCCATGAAATATTTTGGCAAAAATGAGGTCAAAATTTTGGATCACCAAAAAATCCATGGACTATAGCACACGAAAATCGGCAAAATGGGGGGTTTACCTGCTCCGGGGTTCGTTTGACCTTGAAAATTGGCCGTTTGGCCGTGAGGGCCAACTGGATTCATAGCTAAGGTCTTAACGGACGTCCATGAAATTTTTTGGCAAGATTGAGGTTGGAATTCCGAATCACCAAAAAATCCATGGACTATAGCACATGAAAATCGGCAAAATGGGGGGGGGGGGGTTACCTGTTCTGGGCTCGTTTGACATTGAAAATGGGCCATTTTTGTCATGAGGGCCAATTGGCTCCATAGCTAAGGTCTTAACGGATGTCCAAGAAAAAAATTGGCAAAATTGAGGTCGAAAATCTGGATCACCAAAAAATCCATGGACTATAGCACACAAAAATTGTCAAAATAGGGGGGTTTGCCTGCTTTGGGGATCGTTTGACCTTGAAAATGGGTTGTTTTGGCCGTGAGGGCCAACTTACTCCATAGCTAAGGTCTTAACAGACGTCCATGAAAAATTTTGGCAAAATTGAGGTCGAAATTCTAGGTCACTAGAAAATCCATGGACTAGCACACGAAAATCGGTAAAATGGGGGGTTTACCTGCTCCGGGGATCGTTTGGCCTAAAAAATGGGACGTTTTTGGCATGAGGGCCAACTAGATCCATAGCTAAGGTCTTAACGGACTTCCATAAAAATTTTTGGCAAAATTGAGGCCAAATTCTTGATCACCAAAAAATCCATGAACTATAGCACACGAAAATCAGAAAAATGGGGGAGTTTACCTTCTCCGAGGTTCATTTGACCATGAAAATGGGACGTTTGTCCGTGAGGGCCAACTAGATCCATAGCTAAGGTCTGAAAGGATGTCCATGAAAATATCGGCCAAATTGAAGTCGAAATTCCGCATCACCAAAAAATCCATGGACTATAGCACATGAAAATCAGCAAAATATGGGGTTTACTTGCTCCGGGGATCGTTTGACCTTGATAATGGGCCGGTTTGGCGGT